AAAAAAAAAAAAAAAGGCATTGCATATTTACATCAAGAAGTTTGGGGCGACTCGACTTTTTTCTGGCAGTCCTCACAGTCTTCAAACATGAGTGTCTCACGGCTCAGTTTTCTGTGACATGATTAGTGATTCGTTGATACTCTCAGTTCAGATTTGTGGAAATAAAGTTCTCCCATAATACTGACAGGATAGAGGGGGACGGAAGCCCCCGGCGTCTGGAGCTGGAAGCCTCGTTTCTGTTAATGTCCGTGTAATGAACTACCGTTTTCCTCGCTATGATTTATCACCTATCAACAGTCTCCTCATTCAGACTGAAAACACTGACAAGCTGAGCACCGTCTGCTCTCAAGGTTCTTGCACAGTTGCACAAACTTTTTCCCAAGAAAACAAAAAAGAAAAAAAAGAAAATAATAATTTCCTCACTGTTCGATATGTTGCAGTCGTGTTTCTCTGCCCCGTTTCATCGCCTCTACACATGAACAATGTTCCTCAGCAGTATGAGATGGCAGGGAATCAGAAAACACACTCTAGGACCTGCCAATTACCCAGTATCTCTCTATACATGTGTAGGAACCCTAAGGTAAGTCGGCAGTGTTCTCCAAGAACAAAAAATCTGATTTGATGCGTTCTCACAGCCATGAGACAGCATTTCATTTAGCCTTGGTCTGCTCAGCAAATTCACAGTATGGGGACGCTTCAGTCCCTGCTTTTAGTTCACTATATACTGATTCAGTTTTTGAAAGTTCTTGAGTCCCTCGTAAAAAAGGTTGTGCAGCTCTCAGGACACGAGTACCGCATTGACCGCTACAGCTGAGCCGATTGTGCTGCTGGTACAACATTATGGACCAAAAAATTGAGACGAAAATGCCAAAAATACAGAGTGACGGGACCCCAGCTGGTCTGCTTTGACCCCCCAGTCGTGATGGTGGGATCGTAGTCGATTTAAACTCGGTTATGTTTTGGAGCAATAAATAAATAAATACATAAATAAATAAAGGACTCCGGATTGTTGTGGCAAACAGACCATCGGTGAGGGAGATGAAATTTATACAAACTCCAATGGGAAAGTCTTTGAGAGGATTAGGAAGGACGTCATTACGGGCGCCGACACATCTGGTGTGTGTAGACCAGGTTTAGCTTCACCTCAAAAACCAACTAACACCAAATCTGATGCAGCTTGGAGGAAACTGCCGACCTCAGTCTGATCATTCTGGAGAACTCTGCTGTTCCCTGTTGGAGTGTAGTTACGTGTGTGTGTGTGTGTGTGTCTGTGTCTGTGTGTGTGTGTGTGTGTGTGTGTGTGTGTGTGTGTGTGCTATGACAGCATAAGGTTGACCCCCATGTCCCACATACATACAGTACATACATACATTAAGCCACGCCTCCCTGTGTAAACATCCATTCCACTAGTCCTACAGCTACGATGAGGAAACAGAAGAGAGGAGGACGAG